TTGCATCTAAGTTAATTCTGAAGGAATATGCCTTTAAATGCATAGCATCTAAGTTAATTCTGAAGGCATATGCCTTTAATTGCATTGTATTTTAAGTCATTTCTGCAGGCATATGCCTTTAATTCCATAGCATCTAATTTGATTCTGCAGGCATGTGCCTTTAATTCCATAGAATCTAAGTTAATTCTGAAGACATATGCCTTTAATTCCATAGAATCTAAGTTAATTCTGAAGGCATATGCCTTTAATTCCATAGCATCTAAGTTAATTCTGAAGGCATATGCCTTTAATTCCATAGCATCTAAGTTAATTCTGCAGCCATATGCATTTAATTCCATAGCATCTAAGTTAATTTTGAAGGCATATGCCTTTAATTGCATTGCATCTAAGTTAATTTTGAAGGCATATGCCTTTAATTCCATAGCATCTAAGTTAATTCTGAAGGCATATGCCTTTAATTGCATTGCATCTAAGTTCATTATGCATGCATATGCCTTTCATTGCATTGCATCTAAGTTCATTATGCAGGCATATGCCTATAATTGCATAGCACCTAAGTTAATCTGAAGGCATATACCTATAATTCCATTGCACCTAAGTTAATTCAGACGGCATATGCCTTTAATTCCATAGCAGCTAAGCTAATTCTGGAGGCATATGCCTTTAATTGCATTGCATCAAAGTTAATTCTGAAGGCATATGCCTTTAATTGCATTGCATCTAAGTTAATTCTGCAGGCATATGCCTTTAATTCCATAGCATCTATGTTATTCTGCAGGCATATGCCTTTAATTGCATTGCATCTATGTTAATTCTGACGGCATATGCCTTTAATTGCATTGCATCTAAGTTAATTGTGCAGGCATATTCCTTTAATTGCATTGCATCTAAGTTAATTCTGAAGGCATATGCCTTTAATTGCATAGCACTTAAGTTAATTCTGAGGGCATATGCCTTTAATTGCATTGCATCTAAGTTAATTCTGAAGGCATATGCCTTTAATTGCATTGCATCTAAGTTAATTCTGAACGATATGCCTTTAATTGCATTGCATCTAAGTTAATTCTGCAGGCATATGCCTTTAATTGCATTGCATCTAAGTGAATTCTTAAGGCATATGCCTTTAAATGCATAGCATCTAAGTTAATTCTGAAGGCATATTCCTTTAAATGCATTGCATCTAAGTTCATTATGCAGGCATATGCCTTTAATTGCGTAGCATCTAAGTTAATTATGCAGGCATACGCCTTTAATTCCATAGCATCTAAGTTAATTCTGAAGGCATATGCCTTTAATTGCATTGCATCTAAGTTAATTCTGAAGGCATATGCCTTGAAATGCATAGCATCTAAATTAATTCTGCAGGCATATGCCTTTAATTGTATTGCATCTAAGTTAATTCTGAAGGAATGTGCCTTTAAATGCATAGCATCTAAGTTAATTCTGAAGGCATATGCCTTTAATTGCATTGTATTTAAGTTATTTCTGCAGGCATATGCCTTTAATTCCATAGCATCTAATTTGATTCTGCAGGCATATGCCTTTAATTCCATAGAATCTAAGTTAATTCTGAAGTCATATGCCTTTAATTCCATAGAATCTAAGTTAATTCTGCAGGCATATGCCTTTAATTCCATAGCATCTAAGTTAATTCTGAAGGCATTAGCCTTTAATTCCATAGCATCTAAGTTACTTCTGAAGGCATATGCCTTTAATTGCATTGCATCTAAGTTAATTTTGAAGGCATATGCCTTTAATTCCATAGCATCTAAGTTAATTCTGCAGGCATATGCCTTTAATTGCATTGCATTTAAGTTCATTATGCATGCATATGCCTTTCATTGCATTGCATCTAAGTTCATTATGCAAGCATGTGCCTTTAATTGCATTGCATCTAAGTTCATTCTGACGGCATATGCCTTTAATTGCATAGCACCTAAGTTAATTTGAAGGCATATGCCTTTAAATCCATAGCATCTAAGTTAATTCAGACGGCATATGCCTTTAATTCCATAGCAGCTAAGCTAATTCTGGAGGCATATGCCTTTAATTGCATTGCATCAAAGTTAATTCTGAAGGCATATGCCTTTAATTCCATAGAATCTATGTTATTCTGCAGGCATATGCCTTTAATTGCATTGCATCTATGTTAATTCTGACGGCATATGCCTTTAATTGCATTGCATCTAAGTTAATTGTGCAGGCATACGACTTTAATTGCATTGCATCTAAGTTAATTCTGCAGGCATATGCCTTTAATTGCATTGCATCTAAGTTAATTCTGCAGGCATATGCCTTTAATTCCATAGCATCTAAGTTAATTCTGCAGGCATATGCCTTTATTTGCATTGCGACTAAGTTAATTGTGCAGGCATGTGCCTTTAATTGCATAGCATCTAAGATAATTGTGCAGGCATATGCCTTTAATTTCATAGGATGTATATTAATTCTGAAGGCATATTCCTTTAAATCCATAGCATCTAAGTTAATTCTGAAGGCAAATGCCTTTAATTGCATAGCATCTAAGTTAATTCTGCAAGCATATGCCTTTAATTGCATTGCATCTAAGTTCATTATGCAAGCATGTGCCTTTAATTGCATTGCATCTAAGTTAATTCTGCAGGCATATGCCTTTAATTGCATAGCATCTAAGTTAATTCTGAAGGCATATGCCTTTAATTGCATAGCATCTAAGTTAATTCTGAAGGCATATGCCTTTAATTGCATAGCATCTAAGTTAATTCTGAAGGCATATGCCTTTCATTGCATAGCATCTAAGTTAATTCTGCAGGCATATGCCTTTAATTGCATTGCATCTAAGTTAATTCTGCAGGCATATGCCTTTAATTGCATTGCATCTAAGTTCATTATGCAGGCATATGCCTTTAATTGCGTAGCATCTAAGTTAATTATGCAGACATACGCCTTTAATTCCATAGCATCTAAGTTAATTCTGCAGGCATATTCCTTCAATTGCATTGCATCTAAGTTAATTCTGAAGGCAAATGCCTTTAATTGCATAGCATCTAAGTTAATTCTGCAGGCATATGCCTTTAATTGCATAGCATCTAAGTTAATTCTGAAGGCATATGCCTTTAATTGCATTGCATATAAGTTCATTATGCAAGCATGTGCCTTTAATTGCATTGCATCTAAGTTCATTCTGCAGGCATATGCCTTTAATTGCATAGCATCTAAGTTAATTCTGAAGGCATATGCCTTTAATTACACAGCATCTAAGTTAATTCTGAAGGCATATGCCTTTAATTGCATAGCATGTAAGTTAATTATGCAGGCATATGCCTTTAATTGCATTGCATCTAAGTTAATTCTGAAGGAATATGCCTTTAAATGCATAGCATCTAAGTTAATTCTGAAGGCATATGCCTTTAATTGCATTGTATTTAAGTTATTTCTGCAGGCATATGCCTTTAATTCCATAGCATCTAATTTGATCCTGCAGGCATATGCCTTTAATTCCATAGAATCTAAGTTAATTCTGAAGTCATATGCCTTTAATTCCATAGAATCTAAGTTAATTCTGAAGGCATATGCCTTTAATTCCATAGCATCTAAGTTAATTCTGAAGGCATATGCCTTTAATTCCATAGCATCTAAGATAATTCTGCAGGCATATGCCTTTAATTCCATAGCATCTAATTTAATTTTGAAGGCATATGCCTTTAATTGCATTGCATCTAAGTTAATTTTGAAGGCATATGCCTTTAATTCCATAGCATCTAAGTTAATTCTGAAGGCATATGCCTTTAATTGCATTGCATCTAAGTTCATTATGCATGCATATGCCTTTCATTGCATTGCATCTAAGTTCATTATGCAGGCATATGCCTATAATTGCATAGCACCTAAGTTAATTCTGAAGGCATATACCTATAATTCCATTGCACCTAAGTTAATTCTGAAGGCATATGCCTTTAAATCCATAGCATCTAAGTTAATTCAGACGGCATATGCTTTTAATTCCATAGCAGCTAAGCTAATTCTGGAGGCATATGCCTTTAATTGCATTGCATCAAAGTTAATTCTGAAGGCATATGCCTTTAATTGCATTGCATCTAAGTTAATTCTGCAGGCATATGCCTTTAATTCCATAGCATCTATGTTATTCTGCAGGCATATGCCTTTAATTGCATTGCATCTATGTTAATTCTGCAGGCATATGCCTTTAATTGCATTGCATCTAAGTTAATTGTGCAGGCATATTCCTTTAATTGCATTGCATCTAAGTTAATTCTGAAGGCATATGCCTTTAATTGCATAGCACTTAAGTTAATTCTGAGGGCATATGCCTTTAATTGCATTGCATCTAAGTTAATTCTGAAGGCATATGCCTTTAATTGCATTGCATCTAAGTTAATTCTGAAGGCATATGCCTTTAAATACATAGCATCTAAGTTAATTCTGAAGGCATATTCCTTTAAATGCATTGCATCTAAGTTAATTCTGAAGGCATATTCCTTTAATTGCATTGCATCTAAGTTCATTATGCAGGCATATGCCTTTAATTGCGTAGCATCTAAGTTAATTATGCAGGCATACGCCTTTAATTGCATAGCATCTAAGTTAATTCTGAAGGCATATGCCTTTAATTGCATTGCATCTAAGTTAATTCTGAAGGCATATGCTTTTAAATGCATAGCATCTAAATTAATTCTGCAGGCATATGCCTTTAATTGTATTGCATCTAAGTTAATTCTGAAGGAATATGCCTTTAAATGCATAGCATCTAAGTTAATTCTGCAGGCATATGCCTTTAATTCCATAGCATCTAATTTGATTCTGCAGTCATATGCCTTTAATTCCATAGAATCTAAGTTAATTCTGAAGTCATATGCCTTTAATTCCATAGAATCTAAGTTAATTCTGCAGGCATATGCCTTTAATTCCATAGCATGTAAGTTAATTCTGAAGGCATTAGCCTTTAATTGCATTGCATCTAAGTTAATTCTGAAGGCATATGCTTTTAGTTGCATTGCATCTAAGTTAATTTTGAAGGCATATGCCTTTAATTCCATACCATCTAAGTTAATTCTGCAGGCATATGCCTTTAATTGCATTGCATCTAAGTTCATTATGCATGCATATGCCTTTCATTGCGTTGCATCTAAGTTCATTATGCAGGCATATGCCTATAATTGCGTTGCATCTAAGTGAATTCTGACGGCATATGCCTTTAATTGCATAGCACCTAAGTTAATTCTGAAGGCATATACCTATAATTCCATTGCACCTAAGTTAATTCTGAAGGCATATGCCTTTAAATCCATAGCATCTAAGTTAATTCAGACGGCATATGCCTTTAATTCCATAGCAGCTAAGCTAATTCTGGAGGCATATGCCTTTAATTGCATTGCATCTATGTTAATTCTGACGGCATATGCCTTTAATTGCATTGCATCTAAGTTAATTGTGCAGGCATATGACTTTAATTGCATTGCATCTAAGTTAATTCTGCAGGCATATGCCTTTAATTGCATTGCATCTAAGTTAATTCTGCAGGCATATGCCTTTAATTGCATTGCATCTAAGTTAATTCTGCAGGCATATGCCTTTATTTGCATTGCGTCTAAGTTAATTGTGCAGGCATGTGCCTTTAATTGCATAGCATCTAAGATAATTGTGCAGGCATATGCCTTTAATTTCATAGGATGTATATTAATTCTGAAGGCATATTCCTTTAAATCCATAGCATCTAAGTTAATTCTGAAGGCAAATGCCTTTAATTGCATAGCATCTAAGTTAATTCTGCAAGCATATGCCTTTAATTGCATTGCATCTAAGTTCATTATGCAAGCATGTGCCTTTAATTGCATTGCATCTAAGTTAATTCTGCAGGCATATGCCTTTAATTGCATAGCATCTAAGTTAATTCTGAAGGCATATGCCTTTAATTGCATAGCATCTAATTTAATTCTGCAGGCATATGCCTTTAAATGCATAGCATCTAAGTTAATTCTGCAGGCATATGCCTTTAATTGCATAGCATCTAAGTTAATTCTGAAGGCATATGCCTTTAAATGCATAGCATCTAAGTTAATTCTGCAGGCATATGCCTTTAATTGCATTGCATCTAAGTTAATTCTGCAGGCATATGCCTTTAATTGCATTGCATCTAAGTTCATTATGCAGGCATATGCCTTTAATTGCGTAGCATCTAAGTTAATTATGCAGGCATACGCCTTTAATTCCATAGCATCTAAGTTAATTCTGCAGGCATATTCCTTTAATTGCATTGCATCTAAGTTAATTCTGAAGGCAAATGCCTTTAATTGCATAGCATCTAAGTTAATTCTGCAGGCATATGCCTTTAATTGCATAGCATCTAAGTTAATTGTGAAGGCATATGCCTTTAATTGCATTGCATCTAAGTTCATTATGCAAGCATGTGCCTTTAATTGCATTGCATCTAAGTTAATTCTGCAGGCATATGCCTTTAATTGCATAGCATCTAAGTTAATTCTGAAGGCATATGCCTTTAATTGCATTGCATCTAAGTTAATTCTGAAGGCATATGTTTTTAAATGCATAGCATCTAAGTTAATTCTGAAGGCATATGCCTTTAATTGCATTGCATCTAAGTTAATTCTGAAGGCATATGCCTTTAATACCATAGCATCTAAGTTAATTCTGAAGGCATATGCCTTTAATTGCGTTGCATCTAAGTTCATTATGCAGGCATATGCCTTTAATTGCGTAGCATCTAAGTTAATTATGCAGGCATACGCCTTTAATTCCATAGCATATAAGTTAATTCTGAAGGCATATTCCTTTAATTGCATTGCATCTAAGTTAATTCTGAAGGCATATGCCTTTAAATGCATAGCATCTAAATTAATTCTGCAGGCATATGCCTTTAATTGCATTGCATCTAAGTAAATTCTGAAGGGATATGCCTTTAATTGCATAGCATCTAAGTCCATTATGCAAGCATATGCCTTTAATTGCATAGCATCTAAGTTCATTACGCAGGCATATGCCTTTAATTGCATTCCATGTAATTTAATTCTGAAGCATATTCCTTTAATTGCATAGCATGTAAGTTCATTATGCAGGCATATGCCTTTAATTGCATTGCATCTAAGTTAATTCTGAAGGCAAATGCCTTTAATTGCATAGCATCTAAGTTAATTCTGCAGGCATATGCCTTTAATTGCATTCCTTCTAAGTTAATTTTGCAGGCATATGCCTTCAATTGCATTGCATCTAAGTTAATTCTGCAGGCATATGCCTTTAATTCCATAGCATCTAAGTTACTTCTGAAGGCATATGCCTTTAATTGCATTGCATCTAAGTTAATTTTGAAGGCATATGCCTTTAATTCCATAGCATCTAAGTTAATTCTGCAGGCATATGCCTTTAATTGCATTGCATCTAAGTTCATTATGCATGCATATGCCTTTCATTGCATTGCATCTAAGTTCATTATGCAGGCATATGCCTATAATTGCATTGCATCTAAGTGAATTCTGACGGCATATGCCTTTAATTGCATAGCACCTAAGTTAATTCTGAAGGCATATACCTATAATTACATTGCTCCTAAGTTAATTCTGAAGGCATATGCCTTTAAATCCATAGCATCTAAGTTAATTCAGAAGGCATATGCCTTTAATTCCATAGCAGCTAAGCTAATTCTGGAGGCATATGCCTTTAATTGCATTGCATCAAAGTTAATTCTGAAGGCATATGCCTTTAATTCCATAGAATCTATGTTATTCTGCAGGCATATGCCTTTAATTGCATTGCATCTATGTTAATTCTGACGGCATATGCCTTTAATTGCATTGCATCTAAGTTAATTGTGCAGGCATATGACTTTAATTGCATTGCATCTAAGTTAATTCTGCAGGCATATGCCTTTAATTGCATTGCATCTAAGTTAATTCTGCAGGCATATGCCTTTAATTGCATTGCATCTAAGTTAATTCTGCAGACATATGCCTTTATTTGCATTGCGTCTAAGTTAATTGTGCAGGCATGTGCCTTTAATTGCATAGCATCTAAGATAATTGTGCAGGCATATGCCTTTAATTTCATAGGATGTATATTAATTCTGAAGGCATATTCCTTTAAATCCATAGCATCTAAGTTAATTCTGAAGGCAAATGCCTTTAATTGCATAGCATCTAAGTTAATTCTGCAAGCATATGCCCTAAATTGCATTGCATCTAAGTTCATTATGCAAGCATGTGCCTTTAATTGCATTGCATCTAAGTTAATTCTGCAGGCATATGCCTTTAATTGCATAGCATCTAAGTTAATTCTGAAGGCATATGCCTTTAATTGCATAGCATCTAAGTTAATTCTGAAGGCATATGCCTTTAATTGCATAGCATCTAAGTTAATTCTGAAGGCATATGCCTTTAAATGCATAGCATCTAAGTTAATTCTGCAGACATATGCCTTTAATTGCATTGCATCTAAGTTAATTCTGCAGGCATATGCCTTTAATTGCATTGCATCTAAGTTCATTATGCAGGCATATGCCTTTAATTGCGTAGCATCTAAGTTAATTATGCAGGCATACGCCTTTAATTCCATAGCATATAAGTTAATTCTGAAGGCATATTCCTTTAATTGCATTGCATCTAAGTTAATTCTGAAGGCATATGCCTTTAAATGCATAGCATCTAAATTAATTCTGCAGGCATATGCCTTTAATTGCATTGCATCTAAGTAAATTCTGAAGGGATATGCCTTTAATTGCATAGCATCTAAGTCCATTATGCAAGCATATGCCTTTAATTGCATAGCATCTAAGTTCATTACGCAGGCATATGCCTTTAATTGCATTCCATGTAATTTAATTCTGAAGCATATTCCTTTAATTGCATAGCATGTAAGTTCATTATGCAGGCATATGCCTTTAATTGCATTGCATCTAAGTTAATTCTGAAGGCAAATGCCTTTAATTGCATAGCATCTAAGTTAATTCTGCAGGCATATGCCTTTAATTGCATTCCTTCTAAGTTAATTTTGCAGGCATATGCCTTCAATTGCATTGCATCTAAGTTAATTCTGCAGGCATATGCCTTTAATTCCATAGCATCTAAGTTACTTCTGAAGGCATATGCCTTTAATTGCATTGCATCTAAGTTAATTTTGAAGGCATATGCCTTTAATTCCATAGCATCTAAGTTAATTCTGCAGGCATATGCCTTTAATTGCATTGCATCTAAGTTCATTATGCATGCATATGCCTTTCATTGCATTGCATCTAAGTTCATTATGCAGGCATATGCCTATAATTGCATTGCATCTAAGTGAATTCTGACAGCATATGCCTTTAATTGCATAGCACCTAAGTTAATTCTGAAGGCATATACCTATAATTACATTGCTCCTATGTTAATTCTGAAGGCATATGCCTTTAAATCCATAGCATCTAAGTTAATTCAGAAGGCATATGCCTTTAATTCCATAGCAGCTAAGCTAATTCTGGAGGCATATGCCTTTAATTGCATTGCATCAAAGTTAATTCTGAAGGCATATGCCTTTAATTCCATAGAATCTATGTTATTCTGCAGGCATATGCCTTTAATTGCATTGCATCTATGTTAATTCTGACGGCATATGCCTTTAATTGCATTGCATCTAAGTTAATTGTGCAGGCATATGACTTTAATTGCATTGCATCTAAGTTAATTCTGCAGGCATATGCCTTTAATTGCATTGCATCTAAGTTAATTCTGCAGGCATATGCCTTTAATTGCATTGCATCTAAGTTAATTCTGCAGACATATGCCTTTATTTGCATTGCGTCTAAGTTAATTGTGCAGGCATGTGCCTTTAATTGCATAGCATCTAAGATAATTGTGCAGGCATATGCCTTTAATTTCATAGGATGTATATTAATTCTGAAGGCATATTCCTTTAAATCCATAGCATCTAAGTTAATTCTGAAGGCAAATGCCTTTAATTGCATAGCATCTAAGTTAATTCTGCAAGCATATGCCCTAAATTGCATTGCATCTAAGTTCATTATGCAAGCATGTGCCTTTAATTGCATTGCATCTAAGTTAATTCTGCAGGCATATGCCTTTAATTGCATAGCATCTAAGTTAATTCTGAAGGCATATGCCTTTAATTGCATAGCATCTAAGTTAATTCTGAAGGCATATGCCTTTAATTGCATAGCATCTAAGTTAATTCTGAAGGCATATGCCTTTAAATGCATAGCATCTAAGTTAATTCTGCAGACATATGCCTTTAATTGCATTGCATCTAAGTTAATTCTGCAGGCATATGCCTTTAATTGCATTGCATCTAAGTTCATTATGCAGGCATATGCCTTTAATTGCGTAGCATCTAAGTTAATTATGCAGGCATACGCCTTTAATTCCATAGCATATAAGTTAATTCTGAAGGCATATTCCTTTAATTGCATTGCATCTAAGTTAATTCTGAAGGCATATGCCTTTAAATGCATAGCATCTAAATTAATTCTGCAGGCATATGCCTTTAATTGCATTGCATCTAAGTAAATTCTGAAGGGATATGCCTTTAATTGCATAGCATCTAAGTCCATTATGCAAGCATATGCCTTTAATTGCATAGCATCTAAGTTCATTACGCAGGCATATGCCTTTAATTGCATTCCATGTAATTTAATTCTGAAGCATATTCCTTTAATTGCATAGCATGTAAGTTCATTATGCAGGCATATGCCTTTAATTGCATTGCATCTAAGTTAATTCTGAAGGCAAATGCCTTTAATTGCATAGCATCTAAGTTAATTCTGCAGGCATATGCCTTTAATTGCATTCCTTCTAAGTTAATTTTGCAGGCATATGCCTTCAATTGCATTGCATCTAAGTTAATTCTGCAGGCATATGCCTTTAATTCCATAGCATCTAAGTTACTTCTGAAGGCATATGCCTTTAATTGCATTGCATCTAAGTTAATTTTGAAGGCATATGCCTTTAATTCCATCGCATCTAAGGTAATTCTGCAGGCATATGCCTTTAATTGCATTGCATCTAAGTTCATTATGCATGCATATGCCTTTCATTGCATTGCATCTAAGTTCATTATGCAGGCATATGCCTATAATTGCATTGCATCTAAGTGAATTCTGACGGCATATGCCTTTAATTGCATAGCACCTAAGTTAATTCTGAAGGCATATACCTATAATTACATTGCTCCTAAGTTAATTCTGAAGGCATATGCCTTTAAATCCATAGCATCTAAGTTAATTCAGAAGGCATATGCCTTTAATTCCATAGCAGCTAAGCTAATTCTGGAGGCATATGCCTTTAATTGCATTGCATCAAAGTTAATTCTGAAGGCATATGCCTTTAATTCCATAGAATCTATGTTATTCTGCAGGCATATGCCTTTAATTGCATTGCATCTATGTTAATTCTGACGGCATATGCCTTTAATTGCATTGCATCTAAGTTAATTGTGCAGGCATATGACTTTAATTGCATTGCATCTAAGTTAATTCTGCAGGCATATGCCTTTAATTGCATTGCATCTAAGTTAATTCTGCAGGCATATGCCTTTAATTGCATTGCATCTAAGTTAATTCTGCAGACATATGCCTTTATTTGCATTGCGTCTAAGTTAATTGTGCAGGCATGTGCCTTTAATTGCATAGCATCTAAGATAATTGTGCAGGCATATGCCTTTAATTTCATAGGATGTATATTAATTCTGAAGGCATATTCCTTTAAATCCATAGCATCTAAGTTAATTCTGAAGGCAAATGCCTTTAATTGCATAGCATCTAAGTTAATTCTGCAAGCATATGCCCTAAATTGCATTGCATCTAAGTTCATTATGCAAGCATGTGCCTTTAATTGCATTGCATCTAAGTTAATTCTGCAGGCATATGCCTTTAATTGCATAGCATCTAAGTTAATTCTGAAGGCATATGCCTTTAATTGCATAGCATCTAAGTTAATTCTGAAGGCATATGCCTTTAATTGCATAGCATCTAAGTTAATTCTGAAGGCATATGCCTTTAAATGCATAGCATCTAAGTTAATTCTGCAGACATATGCCTTTAATTGCATTGCATCTAAGTTAATTCTGCAGGCATATGCCTTTAATTGCATTGCATCTAAGTTCATTATGCAGGCATATGCCTTTAATTGCGTAGCATCTAAGTTAATTATGCAGGCTTATGCCTTTAATTGCATTCCTTCTAAGTTAATTTTGCATGCATATGCCTTTAATTGCATTGCATATAAGTTCATTATGCAAGCATATGCCTTTAATTGCATAGCATCTAAGTTAATTCTGAAGGCATATGCCTTTAATTGCATTGCATCTAAGTTCATTATGCAAGCATGTGGCTTTAATTGCATTGCATCTAAGTTAATTCTGCAGGCATATGCCTTTAATTGCATAGCATCTAAGTTAATTCTGAAGGCATATGCCTTTAATTGCATTGCATCTAAGTTAATTCTGAAGGCATATGCCTTTAATTGCGTTGCATCTAAGTTCATTATGCAGGCATATGCCTTTAATTGCGTAGCATCTAAGTTAATTATGCAGGCATACGCCTTTAATTCCATAGCATCTAAGTTAATTCTGAAGGCATATGCCTTTAATTGCGTAGCATCTAAGTTCATTATGCAGGCATATGCCTTTGATTGCATTGCATCTAAGTTCATTTTGCAGCCATATGCCTTTAATTGCATTGCATCTAAGTTAATTATGCAGGCATATGCCTTTAATTGCATAGCATCTAAGTTAATTCAGAAGGCATATGCCTTTAATTCCATAGCATCTAAATTCATTATGCAGGCATTTGCCTTTAATTCTATTACTCCTAAGTTAATTCTGAAGTCATATGCCTTTAATTCCATAGCATCTAAGTTAAGTCTGAAGGCATATTCCTTTAATTGCATTGCATCTAAGTTCATTACGCAGGCATATGCTTTTAATTGCGTTGCATCTAAGTTAATTATGCAGGCGTATGCCTTTAATTGCATTGCATCTAAGTTAATTCTGAGCGCAAATGCTTTTAATTGCATTGCATCTAAGGTAATTCTGCAGGCATATGCCTTTAATTGTATAGCACTTAAGTTAATTCTGAGGGCATATGCCTTTAATTCCATAGCATCTAAGTGAATTCTGAAGGCATATGCCTTTAATTACATAGCATCTAAATTCATTATGCAGGCATATGCCTTTAATTCTATTGCTCCTAAGTTAATTCTGAAGTCATATGCCTTTAGTTGCATTGCATCTAAGTTAATTCTGCAGACATATGTCTTTAATTGCATTGCATCTAAGTTCATTATGCAGGCATATGCTTTTAATTGCGTTGCATCTAAGTTAATTATGCAGGCGTATGCTTTTAATTGCGTTGCATCTAAGTTAATTATGCAGGCATATGCCTTTAATTGCATTGCATCTAAGTTAATTCTGCAGGCATATGCCTTTAATTGCATTGCATCTAAGGTAATTCTGCAGGCATATGCCTTTAATTGTATAGCACTTAAGTTAAATCTGAGGGCATATGCCTTTAATTCCATAGCATCTAAGTGAATTCTGAAGGCATATGCCTTTAGTTGCATTGCATCTAAGTTAATACTGAAGGCATATGCCTTTAATTGCATAGCATCTAAGTGAATTCTGAAGGGATATGCCTTTAATTCCACAGCATCTAAGTTAATTCTGAAGGCATATGCCTTTAATTGCATTGCATCTAAGTTAATTCTGAAGGCATATGCCTTTAATTGCATTGCATCTAAGTGAATTCTGAAGGCATATGCCTTTAGTTGCATTGCATCTAAGTTTATTCTGCAGGCATATGCCTTTAATTGCATTGCATCTAAGTGAATTCTGCAGGCATATGCCTTTAATTGCATAGCATCTAAGTTAATTCTGAAGGCATATGCCTTTAATTCCATAGCATCTAAATTCATTATGCAGGCATTTGCCTTTAATTCTATTGCTCCTAAGTTAATTCTGAAGTCATATGCCTTTAATTCCATAGCATCTAAGTTAAGTTTGAAGGCATATTCCTTTAATTGCATTGCATCTAAGTTCATTATGCAGGCATATGCTTTTAATTGCGTTGCATCTAAGTTAATTATGCAGGCGTATGCCTTTAATTGCATTGGATCTAAGTTAATTCTGAGCGCAAATGCTTTTAATTGCATTGCATCTAAGGTAATTCTGCAGGCATATGCCTTTAATTGTATAGCACTTAAGTTAATTCTGAGGGCATATGCCTTTAATTCCATAGCATCTAAGTGAATTCTGAAGGCATATGCCTTTAATTACATAGCATCTAAATTCATTATGCAGGCATATGCCTTTAATTCTATTGCTCCTAAGTTAATTCTGAAGTCATATGCCTTTAGTTGCATTGCATCTAAGTTAATTCTGCAGACATATGCCTTTAATTGCATTGCATCTAAGTTCATTATGCAGGCATATGCTTTTAATTGCGTTGCATCTAAGTTAATTATGCAGGCGTATGCCTTTAATTGCATTGCATCTAAGTTAATTCTGAGCGCAAATGCCTTTAATTGCATTGCATCTAAGGTAATTCTGCAGGCATATGCCTTTAATTGTATAGCACTTAAGTTAATTCTGAGGGCATATGCCTTTAATTCCATAGCATCTAAGTGAATTCTGAAGGCATATGCCTTTAGTTGCATTGCATCTAAGTTAATACTGAAGGCATATGCCTTTAATTGCATACCATCTAAGTGAATTCTGAAGGGATATGCCTTTAATTCCATAGCATCTAAGTTAATTCTGAAGGCATATGCCTTTAATTCCATAGCATCTAAGTGAATTCTGAAGGCATATGCCTTTAGTTGCATTGCATCTAAGTTTATTCTGCAGGCATATGCCTTTAATTGCATTGCATCTAAGTTAATTCTGCAGGCACATGCCTTTAATTGCATTGCATCTAAGTTAATTCTGCAGGCATATGCCCTCAATTCCAGAGAATCTAAGTTAATTCTGAAGGCATATGCCTATAATTGCTTTGCTTCTAAGTTAATTCTGCAGGCAGATGCCTTTAATTCCATGGCATCTAAGTTCATTATGCAGGCATATGCCTTTAATTGCATTGCATCTAAGTTAATTCTGAGGGCATATGCCTTTAATTGCATTGCATCTAAGTTAATTCTGAAGGCATATGCCTTTAATTGCATTGCATCTAAGTTAATTCTGAACGATATGCCTTTAATTGCATAGCATCTAAGTTAATTCTGAAGGCATATGCCTTTAATTGCATAGCATCTAAGTTAATTCTGAAGGCATATGCCTTTAATTGCATTGCATCTAATTTAATTCTGAAGGCATATGCCTTTAATTGTGTAGCATCTATGTTCATTTTGCAGGCATATGCATTTAATTGCATTGCATCTAAATTAATTATGCAGGCATATGCCTTTAATTGAATTGCATCTAAGTTAATTTTGCTGGCATATGCCTTTAATTGCATTGCATCTAAGTTCATAATGCAGGCATATTCCTTTAATTGCATAGCATCTAAGTTAATTCTGAAGGCATATGCCTTTAATTGCATAGCATCTAAGTTCATTATGCAGGCATATGCTTTTAATTCCATAGCATCTAAGTTACTTCTGCAGGCATATGCCTTTAATTGCATTGCATCTAAGTTAATTCTGCAGGCATATGCCTTTAATTCCATAGCATCTAAATTAATTCTGAAGGCATATGCCTTTAATTGCATTGCATCTAAGTTAATTGTAAACGATATGCCTTTAATTGCGTAGCATCTAAGTTCATTATGCAGGCATATGCCTTTAATTCCCTAGCATCGAAGTTAATTCTGAAGGCATATGCCTTTAATTGCATTTCATCTTAGTTAATTCTGAAGGCATATGCCTTTTGTTGCATAGCATCTAAGTTAATTCTGAAGACCTATGCCTTTAATTGCATAGCATCTAAGTTAATTCTGAAGGCATATGCCTTTTGTTGCATTGCATCTAAGTTAATTCTGATGCCATATGCCTTTAATTGCATTGCATCTTAGATAATTCTGCAGGCATATGCCTTTAATTCCATAGCATCTAAGTTAATTCTGAAGGCATATGCCTTTAATTGCATTGCATCTAAGTTACTTCTGCAGGCATATGCCTTTAATTGCTTTGCATCTAAGTTAATTCTGAAGGCATATGCCTTTAATTGCATTGCATCTAAGTTAATTCTGAAGGCATATGCCTTTAGTTGCATTGCATCTAAGTTACTTCTGCAGGCCTATGCCTTTGATTGCATTGCATCTAAGTTAATTATGCAGGCATAGGCCTTTAATTCTATTGCTCCTAAGTTAATTCTGAAGTCATATGCCTTTAGTTGCATTGCATCTAAGTTAATTCTGCGGACATATGCCTTTAATTTCATAGCATCTAAGTTAATTCTGAAGTCATATGCCTTTAATTCCATAGCATCTAAGTTAAGTCTGAAGGCATATTCCTTTAATTGCATTGCATCTAAGTTCATTATGCAGGCATATGCTTTTAATTGCGTTGCATCTAAGTTAATTATGCAGGCGTACGCCTTTAATTGCATTCCTTCTAAGTTAATTCTGCAGGCATATGCCTTCAATTGCATTGCATCTAAGTTAATTCTGCAGGCATATGCCCTTAATTCCATAGCATCTAAGTTAATTCTGAAGGCATATGCCTTTAATTCCATAGCATCTAGGTTAAGTCTGCAGGCTTATGCCTTTAATTCCATAGCATCTTAGTTAATTCTGCAGGCATATGCCTTTAGTTGCATTGCATCTAAGTTAATTCTGAAGGCATATGCCTTTAATTGCATAGCATCTAAGTGAATTCTGAAGGCATATGCCTTTAATTGCATTGCATCTAAGTTAATTCTGAAGGCATATGCCTTTAATTGCATTGCATCGAAGTTAATTCTGAAGGCATATGCCTTTAATTCCATAGCATGTAAGTTAATTATGCAGGCCTATGCCTTTGATTGCATTGCATCTAAGTTAATTATGCAGGCATAGGCCTTTAATTCTATTGCTCCTAAGTTAATTCTGAAGTCATATGCCTTTAGTTGCATTGCATCTAAGTTAATTCTGCGGACATATGCCTTTAATTTCATAGCATCTAAGTTAATTCTGAAGTGATATGCCTTTAATTCCATAGCATCTAAGTTAAGTCTGAAGGCATATTCCTTTAATTGCATTGCATCTAAGTTCATTATGCAGGCATATGCTTTTAATTGCGTTGCATCTAAGTTAATTATGCAGGCGTACGCCTTTAATTGCATTCCTTCTAAGTTAATTCTGCAGGCATATGCCTTCAATTGCATTGCATCTAAGTTAATTCTGCAGGCATATGCCCTTAATTCCATAGCATCTAAGTTAATTCTGAAGGCATATGCCTTTAATTCCATAGCATCTAGGTTAAGTCTGCAGGCTTATGCCTTTAATTCCATAGCATCTTAGTTAATTCTGCAGGCATATGCCTTTAGTTGCATTGCATCTAAGTTAATTCTGAAGGCATATGCCTTTAATTGCATTGCATCTAAGTTAATTCTGAAGGCATATGCCTTTAATTGCATTGCATCGAAGTTAATTCTGAAGGCATATGCCTTTAATTCCATAGCATGTAAGTTAATTATGCAGGCATATGCCTTTAATTGCATTGCATCTAAGTTAATTCTGAAGGCATATGCCTTTATTTCCATAGCATCTAAGTTAATTCTGCAGGCATATGCCTTTAATTGCATTGCATCTAAGTTAATTCTGCAGGCATATGCCTTTAATTGCATTGCATCTAAGTTAATTATGCAGGCATATGCCTTTAATTGCATTGCATCTAAGTTAATTCTGAAGGCATATGCCTTTAACTGCATTGCATCTAAGTTAATTCTGAAGGCATATGCCTTTAATTGCATTGCTCCTAAGTTAATTCTGAAGGCATATGCCTTTAATTGCATAGCACCTAAGTTAATTCTGCAGGCATATGCCTTTAATTACATAGCATCTAAGTTCATTATGCAGGCCTATGCCTTTAATTCCATAGCATCTAAGTTAATTCTGAAGGCATATGCCTTTAATTGCATTGCATCTAAGTTAATGCTGAAGGCATATGCCTTTAATTGCATAGCATCTAAGTTAATTCTGAAGGCATATGCCATTAGTTGCATTGCATCTTAGTGAATTCTGAAGTCATATGCCTTTAGTTGCATTGCATCTAAGTTACTTCTGAAGGCATATGCCTTTAATTCCATAGCATCTTTGTTAATTCTGCAGGCATATGCCTTTAATTGCATTGCATCTAAGTTAATTCTGAAGGCATATGCCTTTAATTCCATAGCATCTAAGTTACTTCTGAAGGCATATGCCTTTAACTGCATTGCATCTAAGTTCATTATGCAGGCATATGCCTTTAATTCCATAGCATCTATGTTAATTCTGAAGGCATATGCCTTTAATTGCATAGCACCTAAGTTAATTGAGAAGGCATATGCCTTTAATTACATTGCATCTAAGTTCATTATGCAGGCATATTCCTTTAATTGCATTGCATCTAAGTTAATTCTGCAGGCATATGCCTTTAATTGCATTCCTTCTAAGTTAATTCTGCAGGCATATGCCTTCAATTGCATTGCATCTAAGTTAATTCTGCTGGCATATGCCTTTAATTCGATAGCATCTAGGTTAAGTCTGCAGGCTCATGCCTTTAATTGCATAGCATCTAAGTTAATTCTGCAGGCATATGCCTTTAATTGCATAGCATCTAAGTTAATTCTGAAGGCATATGCCTTTAATTGCATTGCATCTTAGTTCATTATGCAGGCATATGCCTTTAATTCCATAGCATCTAAGTTAATTCTGAAGGCATATGCCTTTAATTGCATTGCATCTAAGTTAATTCTGCAGGCATATGCCTTTAATTGCATAGCACTTAAGTTAATTCTGAGGGCATATGCCTTTAATTGCATTGCATCTAAGTTAATTCTGAAGGCATATGCCTTTAATTGCATTGCATCTAAGTTAATTCTGAACGATATGCCTTTAATTGCATTGCATCTAAGTTAATTCTGCAGGCATATGCCTTTAATTGCATAGCATCTAAGTTAATTCTGAAGGCATATGCCTTTAATTGCATTGCATCTAAGTTCATTATGCAGGCATATGCCTTTAATTGCGTAGCATCTAAGTTCATTTTACGGGCATATGCATTTAATTGCATTGCATCTAAGTTAATTATGCAGGCATATGCCTTTAATTGCATTGCATCTAAGTTAATTATGCAGGCATATGCCTTTAATTGCATTGCATCTAAGTTCATTATGCAGGCATATTCCTTTAATTGCATAGCATCTAAGTTAATTCTGAAGGCATATGCCTTTAATTGCATAGCATCTAAGTTCATTATGCAGGCATATGCCTTTAATTCCGTAGCATCTAAGTTACTTCTGCAGGCATATGCCTTTAATTCCATAGCATCTAAGTTAATTCTGCAGGCATATGCCTATAATTGCATTGCATCTAAGTTAATTCTGCAGGCATATGCCTTTAATTCCCTAGCATCTAAGTTAATTCTGAAGGCATATGCCTTTAATTGCATTTCATCTAAGTTAATTCTGAAGGCATATGCCTTTTGTTGCATAGCATCTAAGTTAATTCTGAAGACCTATGCCTTTAATTGCATATCATCTAAGTTAATTCTGAAGGCATATGCCTTTAATTGCATTGCATCTAAGTTACTTCTGCAGGCATATGCCTTTAATTGCATTGCATCTAAGTTAATTCTGAAGGCATATGCCTTTAGATTCCATAGCATCTAAGTTAATTATACAGGCATATGCCTTTATTTGCATTGCATCTAAGTTAATTCTGAAGGCATATGCCTTTAATTGCATTGCATCTAAGTTAATTCTGAAGGCATATGCCTTTAATTCCATAGCATCTAAGTTAATTCTGAAGGCATATTCTTTTAGTTGCATTGCATCGAAGTTAATTATGCAGGCATATGCCTTTAGTTGCATTGCATCTAAGTTAATTCTGCAGGCATATGCCTTTAATTGCATTGCATCTAAGTTAATTCTGTAGGCATATGCCTTTAATTCCATAGCATCTAAGTTAATTCTGCAGGCATATGCCTTTAATTGCATTGCATCTCAGTTAATTCTGCAGGCATATTCCCTTAATTCCATAGCAACTAAGGTAATTCAGAAGGCATATGCCTTTAATTGCATTGCATCTAAGTTAATTCTGAAGGCATAAGCCTTTAGTTGCATTGCATCGAAGTTAATTCTGAAGGCATATGCCTTTTATTGCATAGCATCTAAGTTAGTTCTGCAGGCATATGCCTTTAATTGCATAGCATCTAAGTTAATTCTGAAGGCACATGGCTTTAATTGCATTGCATCTAAGTTCATTATGCAAGCATATGCCTTTAATTGCATAGCATCTAAGTTCATTTTGCAGCTATATGCCTTTAATTGCATTGCATCTAAGTTAATTATGCAGGCATATGCCTTTAATTGCATTGCATCTAAGTTAATTATGGAGGCATATGCCTTTAATTGCATTGCATCTAAGTTAATTCTGAGGGCAAATGCCTTTAATTTCATTGTATCTAAGAGTATTGTGCAAGCATATGCCTTTAATTCCATAGCATCTAAGTTAATTCTGCAGGAATATGCCTTTAATTCCATAGCATCTAAGTTAATTCTGCAGGCATATGCCTTTAATTGCATTGCATCTAAGTTAATTCTGAAGGCATATGCCTTTAATTCCATAGCATCTAAGGTAATTATGCAGACATATGCCTTTAATTGCATTGCATCTATGTTAATTCTGAAGGCATATGCCTTTAATTGCATTGCATCTAAGTTACTTCTGAAGGCATATGCCTTTAATTGCATTGCATCTAAGTTAATTATGAGGGCAAATGCCTTTAATTGCATTGCATCTAACTTACTTCTGAAGGCATATTCCTTTAATTGCGTAGCATCTAAGTTAATTCTGAAGGCATATGCCTTTAATTCCATAGCATCTAATTTACTTCTGCAGGCATATGCCTTTAATTGCATTGCATCTAAGTTAATTCTGAAGGAATATGCCTTTAATTCCATAGCTTCTAAGTTAATTCTGAAGGCATATTCGTTTAGTTGCATTGCATCGAAGTTAATTATGCAGGCATATGCCTTTAGTTGCATTGCATCTAAGTTAATTCTGCAGGCATATGCCTTTAATTGCATTGCATCTAAGTTAATTCTGAAGGCATATGCCCTTAATTCCATAGCATCTAAGTTAATTCTGCAGGCATATGCCTTTAATTGCATTGCATCTAAGTGAATTCTGAAGGCATATGCCTTTAATTGCATTGCATCTAAGTTAATTCTGAAGGCATATGCCTTTAATTGCATTGCATCGAAGTTAATTCTGAAGGCATATGCCTTTAATTCCATAGCATGTAAGTTAATTATGCAGGCCTATGCCTTTGATTGCATTGCATCTAAGTTAATTATGCAGGCATAGGCCTTTAATTCTATTGCTCCTAAGTTAATTCTGAAGTCATATGCCTTTAGTTGCATTGCATCTAAGTTAATTCTGCGGACATATGCCTTTAATTTCATAGCATCTAAGTTAATTCTGAAGTGATATGCCTTTAATTCCATAGCATCTAAGTTAAGTCTGAAGGCATATTCCTTTAATTGCATTGCATCTAAGTTCATTATGCAGGCATATGCTTTTAATTGCGTTGCATCTAAGTTAATTATGCAGGCGTACGCCTTTAATTGCATTCCTTCTAAGTTAATTCTGCAGGCATATGCCTTCAATTGCATTGCATCTAAGTTAATTCTGCAGGCATATGCCCTTAATTCCATAGCATCTAAGTTAATTCTGAAGGCATATGCCTTTAATTCCATAGCATCTAGGTTAAGTCTGCAGGCTTATGCCTTTAATTCCATAGCATCTTAGTTAATTCTGCAGGCATATGCCTTTAGTTGCATTGCATCTAAGTTAATTCTGAAGGCATATGCCTTTAATTGCATTGCATCTAAGTTAATTCTGAAGGCATATGCCTTTAATTGCATTGCATCGAAGTTAATTCTGAAGGCATATGCCTTTAATTCCATAGCATGTAAGTTAATTATGCAGGCATATGCCTTTAATTGCATTGCATCTAAGTTAATTCTGAAGGCATATGCCTTTATTTCCATAGCATCTAAGTTAATTCTGCAGGCATATGCCTTTAATTGCATTGCATCTAAGTTAATTCTGCAGGCATATGCCTTTAATTGCATTGCATCTAAGTTAATTATGCAGGCATATGCCTTTAATTGCATTGCATCTAAGTTAATTCTGAAGGCATATGCCTTTAACTGCATTGCATCTAAGTTAATTCTGAAGGCATATGCCTTTAATTGCATTGCTCCTAAGTTAATTCTGAAGGCATATGCCTTTAATTGCATAGCACCTAAGTTAATTCTGCAGGCATATGCCTTTAATTACATAGCATCTAAGTTCATTATGCAGGCCTATGCCTTTAATTCCATAGCATCTAAGTTAATTCTGAAGGCATATGCCTTTAATTGCATTGCATCTAAGTTAATGCTGAAGGCATATGCCTTTAATTGCATAGCATCTAAGTTAATTCTGAAGGCATATGCCATTAGTTGCATTGCATCTTAGTGAATTCTGAAGTCATATGCCTTTAGTTGCATTGCATCTAAGTTACTTCTGAAGGCATATGCCTTTAATTCCATAGCATCTTTGTTAATTCTGCAGGCATATGCCTTTAATTGCATTGCATCTAAGTTAATTCTGAAGGCATATGCCTTTAATTCCATAGCATCTAAGTTACTTCTGAAGGCATATGCCTTTAACTGCATTGCATCTAAGTTCATTATGCAGGCATATGCCTTTAATTCCATAGCATCTATGTTAATTCTGAAGGCATATGCCTTTAATTGCATAGCACCTAAGTTAATTGAGAAGGCATATGCCTTTAATTACATTGCATCTAAGTTCATTATGCAGGCATATTCCTTTAATTGCATTGCATCTAAGTTAATTCTGCAGGCATATGCCTTTAATTGCATTCCTTCTAAGTTAATTCTGCAGGCATATGCCTTCAATTGCATTGCATCTAAGTTAATTCTGCTGGCATATGCCTTTAATTCGATAGCATCTAGGTTAAGTCTGCAGGCTCATGCCTTTAATTGCATAGCATCTAAGTTAATTCTGCAGGCATATGCCTTTAATTGCATAGCATCTAAGTTAATTCTGAAGGCATATGCCTTTAATTGCATTGCATCTTAGTTCATTATGCAGGCATATGCCTTTAATTCCATAGCATCTAAGTTAATTCTGAAGGCATATGCCTTTAATTGCATTGCATCTAAGTTAATTCTGCAGGCATATGCCTTTAATTGCATAGCACTTAAGTTAATTCTGAGGGCATATGCCTTTAATTGCATTGCATCTAAGTTAATTCTGAAGGCATATGCCTTTAATTGCATTGCATCTAAGTTAATTCTGAACGATATGCCTTTAATTGCATTGCATCTAAGTTAATTCTGCAGGCATATGCCTTTAATTGCATAGCATCTAAGTTAATTCTGAAGGCATATGCCTTTAATTGCATTGCATCTAAGTTCATTATGCAGGCATATGCCTTTAATTGCGTAGCATCTAAGTTCATTTTACGGGCATATGCATTTAATTGCATTGCATCTAAGTTAATTATGCAGGCATATGCCTTTAATTGCATTGCATCTAAGTTAATTATGCAGGCATATGCCTTTAATTGCATTGCATCTAAGTTCATTATGCAGGCATATTCCTTTAATTGCATAGCATCTAAGTTAATTCTGAAGGCATATGCCTTTAATTGCATAGCATCTAAGTTCATTATGCAGGCATATGCCTTTAATTCCGTAGCATCTAAGTTACTTCTGCAGGCATATGCCTTTAATTCCATAGCATCTAAGTTAATTCTGCAGGCATATGCCTATAATTGCATTGCATCTAAGTTAATTCTGCAGGCATATGCCTTTAATTCCCTAGCATCTAAGTTAATTCTGAAGGCATATGCCTTTAATTGCATTTCATCTAAGTTAATTCTGAAGGCATATGCCTTTTGTTGCATAGCATCTAAGTTAATTCTGAAGACCTATGCCTTTAATTGCATATCATCTAAGTTAATTCTGAAGGCATATGCCTTTAATTGCATTGCATCTAAGTTACTTCTGCAGGCATATGCCTTTAATTGCATTGCATCTAAGTTAATTCTGAAGGCATATGCCTTTAGATTCCATAGCATCTAAGTTAATTATACAGGCATATGCCTTTATTTGCATTGCATCTAAGTTAATTCTGAAGGCATATGCCTTTAATTGCATTGCATCTAAGTTAATTCTGAAGGCATATGCCTTTAATTCCATAGCATCTAAGTTAATTCTGAAGGCATATTCTTTTAGTTGCATTGCATCGAAGTTAATTATGCAGGCATATGCCTTTAGTTGCATTGCATCTAAGTTAATTCTGCAGGCATATGCCTTTAATTGCATTGCATCTAAGTTAATTCTGTAGGCATATGCCTTTAATTCCATAGCATCTAAGTTAATTCTGCAGGCATATGCCTTTAATTGCATTGCATCTCAGTTAATTCTGCAGGCATATTCCCTTAATTCCATAGCAACTAAGGTAATTCAGAAGGCATATGCCTTTAATTGCATTGCATCTAAGTTAATTCTGAAGGCATATGCCTTTAGTTGCATTGCATCGAAGTTAATTCTGAAGGCATATGCCTTTTATTGCATAGCATCTAAGTTAGTTCTGCAGGCATATGCCTTTAATTGCATAGCATCTAAGTTAATTCTGAAGGCACATGGCTTTAATTGCATTGCATCTAAGTTCATTATGCAAGCATATGCCTTTAATTGCATAGCATCTAAGTTCATTTTGCAGCTATATGCCTTTAATTGCATTGCATCTAAGTTAATTATGCAGGCATATGCCTTTAATTGCATTGCATCTAAGTTAATTATGGAGGCATATGCCTTTAATTGCATTGCATCTAAGTTAATTCTGAGGGCAAATGCCTTTAATTTCATTGTATCTAAGAGTATTGTGCAAGCATATGCCTTTAATTCCATAGCATCTAAGTTAATTCTGCAGGAATATGCCTTTAATTCCATAGCATCTAAGTTAATTCTGCAGGCATATGCCTTTAATTGCATTGCATCTAAGTTAATTCTGAAGGCATATGCCTTTAATTCCATAGCATCTAAGGTAATTATGCAGACATATGCCTTTAATTGCATTGCATCTATGTTAATTCTGAAGGCATATGCCTTTAATTGCATTGCATCTAAGTTACTTCTGAAGGCATATGCCTTTAATTGCATTGCATCTAAGTTAATTATGAGGGCAAATGCCTTTAATTGCATTGCATCTAACTTACTTCTGAAGGCATATTCCTTTAATTGCGTAGCATCTAAGTTAATTCTGAAGGCATATGCCTTTAATTCCATAGCATCTAATTTACTTCTGCAGGCATATGCCTTTAATTGCATTGCATCTAAGTTAATTCTGAAGGAATATGCCTTTAATTCCATAGCTTCTAAGTTAATTCTGAAGGCATATTCGTTTAGTTGCATTGCATCGAAGTTAATTATGCAGGCATATGCCTTTAGTTGCATTGCATCTAAGTTAATTCTGCAGGCATATGCCTTTAATTGCATTGCATCTAAGTTAATTCTGAAGGCATATGCCTTTAATTCCATAGCATCTAAGTTAATTCTGCAGGCATATGCCTTTAATTGCATTGCATCTAAGTTAATTCTGCAGGCATATTCCCTTAATTCCATAGCAACTAAGGTAATTCTGAAGGCATATGCCTTTAATTGCATTGCATCTAAGTTCATTATGCAGGCATATGCCTTTAGTTGCATTGCATCTAAGTTAATTCTGCAGGCATATGCCTTTTATTGCATAGCATCTAAGTTAGTTCTGCAGGCATATGCCTTTAATTGCATAGCATCTAAGTTAATTCTGAAGGCATATGCTTTTAATTGCATTGCATCTAAGTTAATTCTGAAGGCATATTCCTTTAATTCCATAGCATCTAAGTTAATTCTGACGGCATATGCCTTTAATTGCATTGCATCTAAGTTCATTATGCAGGCATATGCCTTTAATTGCATTGCATCTAAGTTCATTATGCAGGCATATGCCTTTAATTGCATTGCATCTTAGTTAATTCTGCAGGCATATGCCTTTAATTGCATTGCATCTAAGTTAATTCTGCAGGCATATGCTTTTAATTCCATAGCATCTAAGTTAATTCTGAAGGCATATGCCTTTAATTGCATTGCATCTAAGTTAATTCTGAAGGCATATGCCTTTAATTCCATAGCGTCTCAGTTAATTATGCAGGCATATGCCTTTAGTTGCATTGCATCTTAGTTAATTCTGAAGGCATATGCCTTTAATTGCGTAGCATCTAAGTTAATTCTGAAGACATATTCCTTTAATTGCGTAGCCTCTAAGTTCATTATGCTGGCATATGCCTTTAATTGCATTGGATCTAAGTTAATTATTCAGGCATATGCCTTTAATTGCATAGCATCTAAGTTAATTCTGCAGGCATATGCCTTTAATTCCATAGCATCTAAGGTAATTCTGAAGGCATATGCCTTTAATTGCATAGCATCTAAGTTAATTCTGCAGGCATATGCCTTTAATTGCATTGCATCTTAGTTAATTATACATGTATATGCCTTTAATTGCATTGCATCTTAGTTAATTATGCAGGCATATGCCTTTAATTCCATTGCATCTAAGTTAATTTTGAGGGCAAATGCCTTTAATTGCATAGCATCTAAGTTAATTCTGAAGGAATATGCCTTTAATTGCATTGCATCTATATCAATTATGCAGGCACATGCCTTTAATTTCATTGCATCTAAGTGAATTCTGAAGGCATATGCCTTTCATTCCATAGCATATTAGTTAATTCTGAAGGCATATATCTTTAATTGCGTAGCATCTAAGTTCATTATGCAGTCATATGCCTTTAATTGCATTGCATCTAAGTTAATTCTGAAGTCATATGCCTTTAATTGCTTAGCATCTAAGTTCATTATGCAGGCATATGCCTTTAATTGTATTGCATCTAAGTTAATTCTGAAGGAATATTCACTTAGATGGAATGCAATTAAAAGCATATGCCTGCAGAATTAACTTAGATGCAATGCAATTAAAGGCATATGCCTTCAGAATTAACTTAGATGCAATGCAATTAAAGGCATATGCCTTCAGAATTAACTTAGATGCTATGCAATTAAAGGCATATGCCTTCAGAATTAACTTAGATGCAATGCAATTAAAGGCATATGCCTGCAGAATTAACTTAGATGCTATGGCAATTAAAGGCATATGCCTTCAGAATTAACTTAGATGCAATGCAATTAAAGGCATATGCCTTCAGAATTAACTTAGATGCAATGCAATTAAAGGCATATGCCTTCAGAATTAACTTAGATGCTATGGAATTAAAGGCATATGCCTTCAGAATTAACTTAGATGCAATGCAATTAAAGGCATATGCCTTCAGAATTAACTTAGATGCTATGGAATTAAAGGCATATGCCTGCAGAATTAACTTAGATGCAATGCAATTAAAGGCATATGCCTTCAGAATTAACTTAGATGCAATGGAATTAAAGGCATATGCCTTCAGAATTAACTTAGATGCTATGGAATTAAAGGCATATGCCTGCAGAATTAACTTAGATGCAATGCAATTAAAGGCATATGCCTGCAGAATTAACTTAGATGCAATGCAATTAAAGGCATATGCCTTCAGAATTAACTTAGATGCTATGGAATTAAAGGCATATGCCTTCAGAATTAACTTAGATGCTATGCAATTAAAGGCATATGCCTTCAGAATTAACTTAGATGCAATGCAATTAAAGGCATATGCCTGCAGAATTAACTTAGATGCTATGCAATTAAAGGCATATGCCTTCAGAATTAACTTAGATGCTATGGAATTAAAGGCATATGCCTTCAGAATTAACTTAGATGCTATGGAATTAAAGGCATATGCCTTCAGAATTAACTTAGATGCAATGCAATTAAAGGCATATGCCTTCAGAATTAACTTAGATGCAATGCAATTAAAGGCATATGCCTTCAGAATTAACTTAGATGCAATGCAATTAAAGGCATATGCCTTCAGAATTAACTTAGATGCAATGCAATTAAAGGCATATGCCTTCAGAATTAACTTAGATGCAATGCAATTAAAGGCATATGCCTTCAGAATTAACTTAGATGCAATGCAATTAAAGGCATATGCCTTCAGAATTAACTTAGATGCAATGCAATTAAAGGCATATGCCTTCAGAATTAACTTAGATGCAATGCAATTAAAGGCATATGCCTGCAGAATTAACTTAGATGCAATGCAATTAAAGGCATATGCCTGCAGAATTAACTTAGATGCAATGCAATTAAAGGCATATGCCTTCAGAATTAACTTAGATGCTATGGAATTAAAGGCATATGCCTTCAGAATTAACTTAGATGCAATGCAATTAAAGGCATATGCCTTCAGAATTAACTTAGATGCAATGCAATTAAAGGCATATGCCTTCAGAATTAACTTAGATGCAATGCAATTAAAGGCATATGCCTTCAGAATTAACTTAGATGCAATGCAATTAAAGGCATATGCCTTCAGAATTAACTTAGATGCAATGCAATTAAAGGCATATGCCTTCAGAATTAACTTAGATGCAATGCAATTAAAGGCATATGCCTTCAGAATTAACTTAGATGCTATGGAATTAAAGGCATATGCCTTCAGAATTAACTTAGATGCAATGCAATTAAAGGCATATGCCTTCAGAATTAACTTAGATGCTATGGAATTAAAGGCATATGCCTTCAGAATTAACTTAGATGCAATGCAATTAAAGGCATATGCCTTCAGAATTAACTTAGATGCTATGGAATTAAAGGCATATGCCTTCAGAATTAACTTAGATGCTATGGAATTAAAGGCATATGCCTGCAGAATTAACTTAGATGCTATGGAATTAAAGGCATATGCCTTCAGAATTAACTTAGATGCAATGCAATTAAAGGCATATGCCTTCAGAATTAACTTAGATGCTATGGAATTAAAGGCATATGCCTTCAGAATTAACTTAGATGCTATGGAATTAAAGGCATATGCCTTCAGAATTAACTTAGATGCTATGGAATTAAAGGCATATGCCTTCAGAATTAACTTAGATGCAATGCAATTAAAGGCATATGCCTTCAGAATTAACTTAGATGCAATGCAATTAAAGGCATATGCCTTCAGAATTAACTTAGATGCAATGCAATTAAAGGCATATGCCTTCAGAATTAACTTAGATGCTATGGAATTAAAGGCATATGCCTTCAGAATTAACTTAGATGCAATGCAATTAAAGGCATATGCCTTCAGAATTAACTTAGATGCAATGCAATTAAAGGCATATGCCTGCAGAATTAACTTAGATGCAATGCAATTAAAGGCATATGCCTTCAGAATTAACTTAGATGCAATGCAATTAAAGGCATATGCTTGCATAATGAACTTAGATGCAATGCAATTAAAGGCATATGCCTTCAGAATTAACTTAGATGCTATGGAATTAAAGGCATATGCCTTCAGAATTAACTTAGATGCAATGCAATTAAAGGCATATGCCTTCAGAATTAACTTAGATGCAATGCAATTAAAGGCATATGCCTGCAGAATTAACTTAGATGCAATGCAATTAAAGGCATATGCCTTCAGAATTAACTTAGATGCAATGCAATTAAAGGCATATGCCTGCAGAATTAACTTAGATGCTATGCAATTAAAGGCATATGCCTTCAGAATTAACTTAGATGCAATGCAATTAAAGGCATATGCCTTCAGAATTAACTTAGATGCAATGCAATTAAAGGCATATGCCTTCAGAATTAACTTAGATGCAATGCAATTAAAGGCATATGCCTTCAGAATTAACTTAGATGCTATGGAATTAAAGGCATATGCCTTCAGAATTAACTTAGATGCTATGGAATTAAAGGCATATGCCTGCAGAATTAACTTAGATGCAATGCAATTAAAGGCATATGCCTTCAGAATTAACTTAGATGCTATGGAATTAAAGGCATATGCCTTCAGAATTAACTTAGATGCAATGCAATTAAAGGCATATGCCTTCAGAATTAACTTAGATGCAATGCAATTAAAGGCATATGCCTTCAGAATTAACTTAGATGCTATGCAATTAAAGGCATATGCCTTCAGAATTAACTTAGATGCAATGCAATTAAAGGCATATGCCTTCAGAATTAACTTAGATGCTATGCAATTAAAGGCATATGCCTTCAGAATTAACTTAGATGCAATGCAATTAAAGGCATATGCCTTCAGAATTAACTTAGATGCTATGGAATTAAAGGCATATGCCTTCAGAATTAACTTAGATGCAATGCAATTAAAGGCATATGCCTTCAGAATTAACTTAGATGCAATGCAATTAAAGGCATATGCCTTCAGAATTAACTTAGATGCAATGCAATTAAAGGCATATGCCTTCAGAATTAACTTAGATGCAATGGAATTAAAGGCATATGCCTTCAGAATTAACTTAGATGCAATGCAATTAAAGGCATATGCCTTCAGAATTAACTTAGATGCAATGCAATTAAAGGCATATGCCTTCAGAATTAACTTAGATGCAATGCAATTAAAGGCATATGCCTTCAGAATTAACTTAGATGCTATGGAATTAAAGGCATAT